TTGTTACATTCATAGACGAGAAATCTAAGTATACTTGGTAACTTTGCTTCCATCTAAGGATAGAGTTTATGATGCATTCATAAACTTCCAAAATTATGTGACTAATCATTTTGATGCCAAGATAAAGATTCTTAAAACAGATAACAGAGGCAAATACACAAGCACTAAGCTCAAAGCACACTTGGAAAAATGCGGAATTCTACACCAAACGAGTTGCCCTTATAACCCTCAACAAAATGGTGTTGCCGAGAGGAAGAATAGGCATCTAATGGAGGTGTCAAGAGCCATGTTGTTCCACAAGCACATGCCAAAACGGTTTTGGGGAGATGCGGTTATGACGGCATGCTATCTCATAAACCGAATACCAACCCGTATCCTTAAATGATCAATCTCCTTTCCAAGTTTTAAATAAACAAAGTCCTAACATAGATCATTTAAGGGTATTTGGAAGTGTTTGCTTTGTGTTTGTCCTAGGTGACTTAAGGAACAAGCTAGAGCCCAAGAGTACTAAATGCGTATTCATAGGATACTCTACGACTCAAAGAGGCTACAAGTGTTTTGATCCGGTCACAAATAGATACTATGTATCTAGGGATGTCAAGTTTATGGAAGAAAAGGCTTATTTTGGGGAGAAGAATTGGGAAGGTGTAAAGGACTTACCAAATTCGACTTCGGATAGAGCAAAGAGTCTTCGACATATTCTTGAGCATTTGGGTAATGTGGGCTCTCCTCAAGAAGATAGAGAAGCTATACCAAAAGAACCAAATGAGAGGACTAGTGAAGTTCAAGAAAGTGATAACAATGTGCAACAAGAGGCTTCGGGTAATCAACAAGAGAGTGGTAGAGAAGAAGGGTTAAGTGAAGAAGTGGAAGAGAAAGATCCATCTAGTGAAGGTGAAATTATTCATCAAGCGGAGATGAGACTTATCAAGCTCCACCAGTAACACGAGATCCAATCTACACTCGGGAGAATCCAAGAAGGGGTACAAGAGAGAGGAAATCGAAGAAGTGCCTCTATAATTGCCAAGCCATGGCTCATCCAATTCAAGCGACATGTTCGATTGACCTTCTTCCCGAAGAACATAAGGCATTTCTTAGTAAGCTAGATGTGGAGTTTGTACCACAAAGTTATGAGGAAGCTAAAAGAATAAAGGAGTGGACTAATGCGGTTGATGATGAAGTTCAAGCAATGACAAGGAATCATACATGGGATGAAGAAGAACTACCAAAAGGGAAGAAATATGTGAGTTCAAAATGGGTGTTTACCATTAAGTACAAGAGTAATGGAGAAATTGAGAGATACAAGGCAAGATTGGTTGCAAGAGGGTTTACACAAACTTATGGTGAGGACTATCGTGAGACATTTGCTCCGGTAGCCAAACAACATACGGTGAAAGTGGTTCTCTCTTTGGCTACTAACTTGGATTGGGAGTTATGGCAAATGGACGTTAAGAACGCATTTCTACAAGGAGAGCTAGAAGAAGAAGTCTATATGACTCCTCCTCCGGGTCTAGAAGACACGGTAGCTCCGGGAAAGGTGTTGAGACTTCGCAAATCCATCTACGGTCTAAAACAATCTCCAAGAGCTTGGTATCACAAATTGAGCTCCACATTGAAGGCCAATGGATTCAAAAAGTCAGAATCCGATCACACCTTGTTTACTCTCCAAAATGATCAAGGCATTGTAGTTGTTTTGATCTATGTTGATGACTTGATCATCTCGGGGAGTAACAAGGAAGGTATTAAATCTATCAAAGCTTCTTTACACTATACGTTTGACATTAAAGATCTTGGTGTGTTGAAATACTTTTTAGGTATCGAAGTGTGTAGATCGCCGGAGGGTTTATTTCTCTCACAAAGGAAATACACACTCGATCTTCTTAAGCTTACGGGAAAGCTTGGAGCCAAACCGGTTTCAACACCATTAGAGCCAGGATATAAGGTCAATCGAAAGAGGGAGAAGGATGATAGACCATATCATTGCCCGGAGCAATATAGAAGACTTGTGGGTAAGTTGATATATTTGACTTATACTCGGCCTGACATTTCTTTTGCCGTGAATCAGGTGAGCCAACACATGAAAGAGCCTACGGTCTACCATTGGAGTATGGTGGATAGGATTCTAAAGTATCTCAAAGGGACCCCCGGCCAAGGAATTTGGATGGGAAAGAACTCAAGCACGTAGATTGTTGGATATTGTGATGCGGATTATAATGGAGATCGCAATACAAGACAATCAACAACCGGCTTTTGCACATTCATTGGTGGGAATCTCGTGACTTGGAAGACAAAGAAACAGAAGGTGGTGTCTTGTTTGAGTGCTGAAGCGGAGTATAGGGCTATGAAGAAGCTCACTAATGAATTAACATGGCTAAAGGCTCTACTAAAGGACTTTGGGATCGAGCAAAAGACGCCAATCACTTTCCATTGTGACAATCAAGCAGCCATCCATATTGCTACTAACCCCGTGTTCCACGAGAGGACCAAGCATATAGAGACGGACTGCCACAAGACTCGGGAGAAGATCGAAGATGGTACTATCTTACCTTGTTACACCAAGAGCTCGGACCAATTGGCCGACATATTCACCAAGGCAGCAAGTACCCAAGTTTGCGAATTTATCCATGGCAAACTTGGGCTTGTAGACCTCACACATCCTTGAGATACCTCTCCACTTATGTCAGTAATACTCTTTTTCCCTAAGATCGGTTTTGTCCCACGTGGTTTTCTGATCTTAGGTTTTTAATGAGGTTACTAGCATAAGTGTCAAGTTTATACCAATGAATATTGTAGTATAAACTTGAGGGGGAGTGTTAATCAAGAAGGTGTTTAATACTAACTAAATCAATAGTTAGATATTTAACACAAGTTACTTATATTGAGAAACCGCCGGGCTGAGACACCTGCCTGGCTAGGCAAAGAGATCCAAACTGGCAGGGACAAGTATAAACCCGCCTGTCTGAGACACCCGCCTGGCTGAGACCCGGTGGTTTCCTCTAGGTCATTTTAACCTAATCTCCTTTATATATAAAGGTTATAGCCACCATTGTAATGTTTTTTGAAGTAACAAAAACTTTTCTCATCAATACATTATCTCTTTCTCTCAATCTTCAATCATGGTTTTCTCAATATTTCCAACTTAAATCTTTACAAACTCAGCTTACGGACAACTGCATCCCGCCGTGGTCATTCGCTCCTTTTGTATAGACTAAACCTTTTGATCTAAATTAAGCACATATTTTCAGTTATCCTAATCTCTTAAGATTTTCCTTTTCTGTTCAGATAATGCCGCTATGGTATTTGATGAAATGGCTGTGGCAGTAAATATTATGGATGAGATCAGAGTCGAAACTTCAAGAATGGAGAAATCAATCAGTGCGGTTCCTGGTTTAGCAGTAATCCTTTTTGGGGACAGTAAGAGCTCCAAAGCCTATGACGTACCTGGTTTAGTGGTTGGAATCAAAACATTCCTAGTTCGTCTAGCTGAAGATTCATCAGAAGAGGAGGTGTTGAAATATGTCTCAAACTTCAACGATGATCCTTGTGTCCATGGAATCCTTGTTCAGTCGCCTCTACCATCTCATATGGATGAGAAGAACATATTGAATGCGGTTAGTGTTGAGAAAGACGTTGATGGATTTCACCCACTCAATATTATATTGGACTACTTGCGATGCGCGGAAGAGAACCGTTATGCGTTCCGCGTATTCCAAAAGGATGCATCGAGCTGTTACACTGGTACAACTTTGAGATCAAAGAAAAGAGAGCAGTTGTTCTTGGAAGGAGTAACACTTTTGGTATGCCAACTGCTCTGTTACTGCAGGTAATGATGATTACCTTGAAAGATGCCATATTGATAATTACTTTTTTCGGTCTTTCTTGATGTATTTTTGTATGTTGTAGAGAGAAGATGCAACTGTTACCATTATCCATTCAAAAACCAAGAACCCTGAAGAAATTACAAGACAAGCTGATATCATAATCTCGGCTGTTGGACAACCAAACATGGTCAGAAGAAGCTGGATAAAACCGGGTGCAGTCGTCATCAATGTTGGGACTAGTGTTGTTAAGGTAAGCGAACAATTTTTTGAAATTATGGTAATGAAGTTATAGTTAATTAAGTCACCAATATGTGACATTCTTATACTATTGCAGGATTCAAGCGCTCCATATGGCTTTCGAATGGTCGGAGACATTTGCTTTGAGGAGGTTTGCAAAGTTGCATCAGCCATCACACCTGATGCGTGTGGCCCTTCGTTATTAATGGCCAAAGCCATGCTTCTATCCAACACTTTAACATCAGCCAAGAGAATTCACAACTTCATGTAACCCTTAAAAAGAATATTGCTTTAGATTTAACAAATCATATGCTCTGCTCTTTGAAGCCAATGGTTAAGACAATTTTCCTTAAATAATACAAATCTTACTCTTTTCTATTGCAATTAATAGTTTGCTTGCTCTGGTCTTTGAAAGTGTCATTTTTTTGTTTTGTTTTGCTTTTCTTTCTATGAAACCAAACATATATATGTATTTCAGTCGGATATTAAATTGTCTTCTAACATGTGTCTTTGCTTCTTCTGGTCCCTCTGTTCTTGTTTTAAATTTTAAGTAACATATAAAGAAAATGAATACATATTGAAAGGATGGTGTGTCCGGTGTCCCATGTTACATATGCTTAAACTTCTTTCCACGCTCCAAAACCAAAAGATAGCAAAAAACGAGAAGCTTTGTTACATAAGAATAAGCCACACCAACCATTAGGAAGGACAAAAAATATTCAGACACAACTGCAGACTCTATACTATTCAGGTTGCCTAGCTAGTAAAAAAAAAAAAATGGCGGTCGTTGTAGAAATATGATTATGATATAAAAGTAATATTAATTCTACGAGATAATTCCTAATGGGTTTAGATAAGTACATATCTTGTCGACTAAAAAAAAATAAAAAATAAATACGTACATATCTTTCTCTACGAGTCTATCTCTACGTTTTGCACGGACGTTAGTTTGGAAACAATTCTACCTTATTTTTGTTAACTCTAACTTTTAACTTGGAAGCCACGACTACTGTTCTGTTTTCCCTAGTAAACAAACGGCGTCGATCATGTTTACCGATTGCTCCTCCTCCACGACGTCGCGTCTCATCCATTTGAACAGCCTCAATGGTGCTTTCCTTCCCCGCCCGTGCTTCGGCCAACTCAGCTTACGGACAACTGCGTCTACCTGGCGCTGCACTCTCTCCATTCGCTCCTCTTCTTCTCCATCCGCGATTGTAATTAATGGAAAGGCTGAGGCCAAAAATATTAGAGATGATATCAAAATCGAAGTTTCAAGAATGAAGGAATCAATCGGTGTGGTTCCTGGTTTAGCAGTAATCCTTGTTGGGAAGAACAAGGAATCCGCAACTTACGTGAGGAACAAGAAGAAAGCTTGTGACTCCGTCGGAATTAAATCATTTGAAGTTCATCTAGCTGAAGATTCATCTGAAGAAGAGGTGTTGAAATCTGTATCAGGCTTCAACGACGATCCTTCTGTCCATGGAATCCTTGTTCAGTTGCCTCTGCCATCGGTAAACAAAGTCTATCTTCATATTAATATTCATAACTTAGATAAACAGTGGATTACAATAGTGTTTTGGGATGTTGTTGCAGCATATGGATGAACAGAGCATATTGAATGCGGTTAGTATAGAGAAAGATGTTGACGGGTTTCACCCGCTAAATATTGGAGGCCTTGCCATGCGTGGAAGAGAACCCTTATTCCTTCCGTGTACTCCAAAAGGATGCATCGAGTTGTTGCATAGATACAAAATTGATATCATAGGAAAAAGAGCGGTTGTTCTCGGAAGGAGTAATATTGTTGGTATGCCAGCTGCTCTTTTACTGCAGGTAATGATGAACTGATACTTCTTAAAGATGCCATTTTTTTCTGGTTGGGACATTCGATTGTTAGTTACATGTTTGGTCTTTATTGATGTGTTTTGTATTTGTAGAGGGAGGATGCGACTGTTACCATTATCCATTCAAGAACAATAAACCCTGAAGAAATCACAAGACAAGCTGATATTATAATCGCAGCTGTTGGACAACCAAACATGGTCAGAGGAAGCTGGATAAAACCTGGTGCAGTTGTCATCGATGTTGGGATTAAACGTGTTGAGGTGAGTGGATGATTTTAAAATATGGTAATATAACGAATGATCAAATCATATACAGTATGTGAAAATAATATGAATTGCAGGATCCAAGTGCTGCCCATGGCTATCGATGGGTTGGAGACGTTTGCTATGAAGAGGCTAGCAAAGTTGCATCAGCCATCACACCTGTTCCTGGTGGTGTTGGACCAATGACCATAGCCATGCTTCTATCCAACACTTTTACATCAGCCAAGAGATTTCACAACTTCCAGTGACTTCAAAAATCTCCAATAATTTTTGCTCTGGTGTTTACAGAAACCTTTTTTTTAATTAAGTCATAAATAATATATCTTTTTAACATTTATTTATTTCTTATCTGTCTGTTCTTCTTACTGTATTTGATTTCAGAGTATATTTAACTTATCCAGATAGTGAGTTCCCAGATTTAACATAGCAAAAGGCAAAATGAGATCATGAGTTTCTTGATTTACAATAAGATGGTGGGTGTTTATACATATTGCAAGGGTTGGTGTGTGTCCCATGTTACAGATTCTGAAACTTTTCGCCACAAAATATCAAATTAATCAGCAACAGGTTGAACGGAGATCAATCCGGGCTTCAAAATGGTCTACCCCAGCCTCACTCATCTGTCTCCTCGTCCTGAGAATCGAAATCTGTCCAAGAAAAACACAAGAGACCCAATGCTCCTAAACTTAGTTCTCAAGCTCCACCATTAACGATGACCAGTTTGTCTTTCTGTATCTAAGAGGAAGGCCATACCTTTGGCTTCTCTATAGAGTTCCCATAGTATCCCACGCCAAAAGACAGTGACGAGTAACCAGCAGCTATCTCAACAGCATTCAGCTCCGGCTTAACTCCAGGGACCTTTAGAGTAAAATCAAAACGATCAGAGTAAGTAAGATTCTAAACCAAAAGAAAGCAAGAAACTGAGAACTCGGACTTACAGCCACAGAAGCATCTGCCTGAACTACTAGAATTCCTGCAGTTTTGTCAGCGGTTCCACTTTTCGAACTCTCTTGATGCATTACAGAACGTAAAACCTTCATGGCAGCAGATGCTGGACCAGCCTGTGAGCTAACAGCATAAGGAATCCCTTCTTAGCTTTGTTACAGAAGTACAACCCACACTGAGAAAAGCATAACCACTAAGAAGGATAAGGGAGATATACAGTGACAATGAAGTACAACACTCTCTCGCTGCAAATCCTCTCATAAGATACTCTCCAGCTCCAGACACACAACAGCCAACTCGAAATGGAGCTCCAAATGGTCCTTTAGAGGATGCCCAGCAACCAGAACCATACGTTGCCGCTAAACCCACACGGCCGCTAATCTGAAATACAGGATCAGAAACAGAGAATTAGATTTTCTTTCAGTTCAAAGAACAACTAAGAAGTCCTTGATACTACCTTCATTGCAATACCGCCACTTGAGGACCCACACACAGTGTGTCCTTGACTGTCAACACAAATTACGCCAACAGTGTCCATGATCTTATCCTCATCTACTGCTACACAGGGTGATGGTTTTTCCTCACATGTGTCATTATTCTCGGTTCCTCTGGGATGTTCTTCAGCAGAGAGGGTACTCTTTGCCTCTACCTCAGAAAGCATGGTCTTGAATTTTCTCCACTGGTTTCTTGCTCTCTGTGTAGTCAGCCACTGTTCAAAAACATACGTAGGACACAAAAATCATTCTCAAGGAATAAAACAACCAGGTAATTGACAGTAAAGCAAAGAGAATGTGGAAATCACAAACCTGATCAGCTTCTGTGACAGTCTCAGGCAAAAGAACACCTTTGGATTTACCCCATCGTCGAGCTCCTTCACCAACCAACAACCTGGGGAGGCAGATCAGAAAGTTCAACCCAACGCTAGCGATAAAACAAATTCAAAGTTGGGTTGATATCAGAACATAGAAGAGTGATTCGTTACATAGGAGGTATACGGCCTAACAGTGTTGAGCCACTAATCTGCTCTTTCACCAACAAAGCAGCAACTTTGATAGCATTTCTTACACCTGATCTACAGTTCATCGTCCAAAATCTTCAGCCATTCCACAAGTAGTGTAATTTGATACACAAGTAAAAGTAGAAATTCGAGATGAGAGGTTTATGAGTACCTGGAACTGCTCCAACACCACCAAACATCCCTGAATCGCCATCCATAAGACTAGCATCACATTCCACATGACCATCTTCTGTCAGATTAGAGCCTCTCCCAGCATTTGTGCTCGGGTCGTCCTAATTCAACAAAGATTCATCGTTATAGGAATCGATAGAACAAGCACCCATTGCAGGCAAAATCTACAGAGTTATTTCTTCTTTAACCAGTGACAAAGACCCAACAAGTACCTCCAGGACTTGAATGGCGGCTGAAACAGCATCTATGCACTCACCAGAATCCTAAATTCAACAGATAAAGCAAAAGGTTCAGGCCTTGCGATTTAGAGATTCTAGATTTGGGCTATGAGAAGAAACTGAAACTGAAATAAGGACCGACCTGGCGAAGAATGGTCGACGCAGCTAGGCAAGCGCGTCTCATGACGGATCTCAGAGCTTTCTCATTAGCTGCTGCATGATATCCGGCACCGACGTGAACCGCCACGAAAAAGCGGCGACTTTGATCTGCTCCGTCGCAAGCCATCGTTTTCAGGCAAAAACCCGTCTACCGTTGTTGAATTAAAGACGCAAACATCGTGTCGTTTTGGGACAACATATACTTTAAATGGGCTTACGAGAGGGCTTAACAGGCCCAAATAAAGATCACTGTTCGAGACAATAAAGACCCTGAGAGTTCAGATAAATTACAAAGAAATGCCATAACTCGTTTCGCTCACCCTCTTAACTCTTAAGAACAAGTAGAAGAAGTCTCATCTTCTTCTTTCTCTGCGATCCTTCTGATTTCACTAAGGTAAGCCGATTTCTGATCACCGCTCCGCCGGAATCATTCTATTTGAATCCTCAATTTGTTGAATTTGTAATAATTTAAATGTTAGCGAGGCTAGGGTTGACATCATTTTGATTCTATGTCACTGATATCGATCTGGCTATCTTCATTGTCGAATTAGGAAAGGAATCAGTGTTTGGTGGACCTAATCGATCCGATCTAGGAAAAATGGGAGGAGGTGAGCATGGGCATGGAGCAGAAGGTGGCGATTTCAGAGCCAAAGTTTGGAGTATGTCTGGTGGGCCTTACTGTAGGCCCAAACATTGGCGTCGGAACACCGCCATTGCTATGTTCGGTGTTTTCCTTGTGTGCATCCCCATCGCCAAGCTATCTGCTAAGCTCGAGGTATTCTTCATTACTTTGGTCCTTCTAAAATGCTAGAAAATTTGGATTGGAAAAGAAAATTAAGAGTATCACTTAGTATGAATAGCATATGAGTAGAAGGGAATGGCTTGGAATTTGATACTGGAATCTACGCATTTTCTTCCCTCACATCTTCTTTGTTCTTGGTCTGTGTTTGTCAATAGTTTTATTGGTTTTGTCGAACATAGATTTGATTTTTCCCATTCCATAATCCAAGGTCTAGCATGATTCAGGGAACCGGTGTCTAGCTATGAAAATGTTTTACAGTAGATATTAGTTGCTACGTACATCCTGCAAATGTGTTTCTATGAAACTAACAAACTTCTCGTACCCAGTTCCATATGGAATTCTTAGTCATTGCCATTAGTTCATTGGGCATTAGTGGATCAGTGACTGTGTAGATTGTATATTATTTCGCAAAATGGGAACTTATCTGTGATGTTTGTCTCTGACCTGATTTAGATTTGCACCCTTTGAGCTCTCCAAGCCCTGTTTCCCATCACCATGTTACTTTGTGTTGTATGTTTGTGTAATAGCTATGGGAGATTTTATTGATTATTTTTCTAGTTTGCCTGGTTCTTTGTTCTTCTGGCTACATCTTTGAGAAGAATTCAGTTGAATATGTAGTTCGACACTGAAGTCTAATCTTTTGAAACCCAGCAACTTCCGTTCACCAAATACGTTCTAAAGAATGGTTTGGATGCAAATGACTGAAGACTTGCATTGCTTGAGTCCCTTGTGACAAAAATGTGCACTTGAATTTTTATATTTTGTGTATGTCCATGCTACTATATAGTTCCCACTTTCTTGTTTGATGATCACAATTTGAGAAAAGCCCTTTTGGTTTTCAGCAAAGGCCACACATGCCAGTACGCCCAATTCCTTCACAGATCTGGTGCAAGAACTTTGGAACCAAGGACGATTATGAAAAAGAGCATTAAAGTTTTTTGCTTGGTTTGGAGAGAACCCTTTAACTGGTCTCTTATTTGCAGACAATGTGAGCATAAAAAAAAAAACCCTTCTAGCTCTGTCTTTGAATTTCATAGTACTGTGAACATAATAATATGTTTTTGCCTTGCCATGTAGAACACATGGAATCTTTCCAAATCAAGAGTTTTCAAGTTATTCCATATTCCAATAATCCAATTGATCAGTGTTTGTAAATCTGTGGGTGAATAACCTAGGGGTGGGTTTTATCTAATGCAGAATCCATCTGTGTTTTGAAGCATCACTATATATGATTTTACTTTGACCTACTTTCAAATTAGTGCTTTAAGAATCTGCATTTACAAATACGTGATTGAATTGTTGATAGACCAAAATGCAGAATATATCTAGATTATGCCTACAATGGCCAGAATAAAGCATTTGATGTTCAATGAATGATCATCTTTCTCTTTGCTTTCTCTCTATTTTTTTACTCGAAAATGCATTTCTTAAAATACTAGTATGAAGTAACCATGAAATAATATTAAAGATCTTTCTCTTTGTAAAATAATAGACCAAAATGCAAAATAATATTTATGTTAAGACTACATAATTTCTTTGCTATTGTATATGAATTTTTAAATCAAGATTATTGGCTGACAAAAGACAATTAAGATTATTGTCATTATTTGATTATGATATTCTAACACATCTTGAAAGTTTTTCTTTAATGTCAAAATAACTAAATAGTACATGTATTCTTTTTATTTCTTTTCCTTTTTCTGTCGGCCCTTAAAATGTTTTTAGAATTAAATTTGCTGTGATGTATTTACAGATTCGAAATCACATTTATCTAGACATGAATCTACATATACATTTTTATAGTACATTTTTGCTTTAATTCTTTTGGATCCGGGTTTGACCCGGTTTTAGTCTATTCGGATCTTGGATAAGCAATTTTAGGGATGTTGTCTTAATTTCAAACTGATAAATGAAGTCATGTTGTCTTTAATTCATCTACATATTCTTATACTATTTCCATATTAATCATCTCCGGATACTTAGCATTTACCATTCGCAGAATTCAGTTTGTTATTATTACCTAAACTAATTGCCACATTAATCGTAACTTAATAACTTTATTCTCTAATTGATTTCGAATATATTCACAATCTAAACCAATTAATATCACATATCTTATCTCATCTATTGTTCCTTTAAATTCTACTATACAATCTTTTAAACAATTCAAAGAAAGAGTGGTTGGATTAAAATCCAAACTAAAAACAAAACAAAATCACAAAAATCATTTTAAATCTTTTCATATTAACTTTACATAAAACACTAACATTTCTTTTTAACAGATCAATTAGCAATAATCACGTTGATCTTAATTCATTAATTATTTGCCTAAACAACTAACTGAATTTTATACAACTGTTATAAAAATTTTAGGAAAAATTAATCACTTACTATAAATACATTTTAAAAACGTTTAATGCTCAAATCTTTAGTTAAGATTTTGGAAAGAATAATAATTTGAAAATCAATTTCTACTCAGTTTAGCAAATAATTTATTTTTATTCATTGACATAAATATAGATTACTTAAAATAGATCGTAACAATATTTAATTTGATTTGTTTATTTAATTTCACCCATATAATTCTTAATTTAATTTGTTTATTTTTTCTTGCAGGAAAGTAGAAGTTTATAGCAATCCTCTTTTGATTTGATCTCATTTTTACTACTTAAGCAAGGATCAACAATAGGAATGTTTTAAAAACAAAATATATAAGCAAGGATCAACAATAGGAATGTTTTAAAAACAAAATATATATGTAATTTGATCACATTTATATAATAATTTTATGAATTTACTTAGAAAAAGTTTAACTTTATTAAACGTTTTAAATATGTATAATATTAAAACTTTTATGAAGTTTCAAATATTATAAATATTTGAATTTTATAAGAATTTATAGAAAGTTTAAATATTATAAATATTTATAAAAGATATTAATACAGGACAGTATACTACGGGTGAAATCCTAAATATAACAATCAAAATACAATTATGAAGTTTGGGTCGATATTAAAACTTTTATGAAGTTTCAACTATTATTAATATTTGAACTTTATACGAATTTATAAGAAGTTTAAATATTATAAATATTTATAAAAAATATTAATACGAGACGGTATACTACGGGTGAAATCCTAAATATAACAATCAAAATATAATTATGAAGTTTGGGTTGATATTAAAACTTTTATGAAGTTTCAAGTATTATAAATATTTGAACTTTATAATAAAATGACAAAATGACGTTTAATTTCACGGGACAGAGTTATATGATGAGACGGGTTTTGGTCGATATTAATATGAGATGATATACTACGGGTAAAATCTTAGAATTAACAATCTAAATACAATTATACAATCTTAAATACTAAACAAAACAAGACAAACAATATTAATAAAATAAATAAAATTTAAAATTTCTAATTATTAGTTATAAAATATTGTCACAATGTGTACTATACAGTAGCATATATTTATAGATCATCTTAAAAAAAATATTCAATTTTTTTATTTAATAAAAATATAGACCCGCGGTGTACCGCGGGTTAACATCTAGTGAAGGTAGAAAAAAAGAACAAAAAAGCAGTGGTTAAGAGTTAAAAGCTGACGGTGTCAAGTCGCCGCAGCGAATAATTTTTGTAAAAGGATGGTTTTCACTTAAAATACTCGAATCTCAAGTTTATATTACCTTTCCTTTTCTTTAATATCTCTACTTGGGACTTTTTTTTTATTTTAGGAAGACGTAATATTTTTTACCAGAGGCACACGCATGGGTAAAAGCGGAAACACCAAAACACGGATACACGTGTCAATGATCTAAAGGTGAGCTGCCCATGTCCTTCCTCTAATCTCATCACCAACATGCTTGGAAAATGATTCAGAACCGTCCACGTGGCAATCTTCATATTCACATTTACCTTTATACCCTCTTTACCCGTTTTCCTTCGGGCAACTTCAATTTGTTTCCTTGTATTATTGACTCTTGAAAAAAAAGAATTAATTTCGAAAAGGAAAATAGAAAATTGTGAAATGAGAAATGGAAACTGAGAGATGCCTTATTTATTATTGTCTGACCCATTGAGAATGAGAGGAGCTCATACTATTCTTCGGGCAGCTGCTCTCAGAGACATCTTCCCTCTTCCTCAGACAGCTTCTTCTACTGGAGGAGAGGAACACAAATCCAATTCACACTGGAAACGTAAGAAGAAGCGATCAAAGCTAAAAAGCTTCGACTCCAGAGATTTCCCCATCATTATTGTTCTCTCTGTTTTTTTCTTCTCAATTTCTTTGTTTGAACTTGTCAAAATCATTTGAATTGCAATTGTGTAGTGTTTGGGTCGGATCTTGAGTGATTTTCGAGACCTATGATGTGGAAGAACATTGCTGGGTTCTCTAAGGCTGCTGCTGCGGCAAGAACCCACGGATCTCGGCGGTGCTTCTCCACAGCGATTCCTGGTCCTTGCATCGTCCACAAGCGTGGTGCTGATATTCTTCACGATCCATGGTTCAATAAGGTTGTGTGTTTTATCTTTTCGATCTTCTGATTTCAGGGATTCCGTTTGATTACAAGTCATAATGCTGATGGTCTCTTTGGTTGCTTTTTGTCTACTTTTGCAGGACACAGGTTTTCCTTTGACTGAGAGAGACAGATTGGGGATACGAGGCTTGCTTCCTCCTCGTGTTATGACCTGTGAACAGCAATATGATCGTTTCAGTAAGTTATGATGACACCTTTGGATCCATTTCCATATATTGTTATCTTTCTGAGATGTTCTTTTTGGGTTTCTGAGACTTTGGTATCAAACATATTTTGGCAGTTGAGTCTTTTCGTTCGCTAGAGAGGAATACAGCAGGACAGCCCGAAAACGTTGTGTCATTAGCTAAATGGAGGATGTTGAATAGATTGCATGACCGTAATGAGACTTTGTACTACCGAGTGAGTGTTTGGCTCTTACTGTCTTTTTATTTATTTATCACATGGCACATCCCTTCTGATTCATAACTCTTCTTCTCTGCAGGTCCTTATCGATAACATCAAAGATTTTGCCCCCATTATATACACTCCCACGGTTGGATTGGTTTGTCAGAACTATTCGGGTTTGTATAGAAGACCACGAGGAATGTACTTCAGTGCCAAAGACAAAGGAGAGATGATGTCTATGATTTATAACTGGCCAGCTCAGCAGGTAGATATGATTGTCATCACTGATGGTAGCCGTATTTTGGGCTTAGGAGACCTTGGAGTCCAGGGAATTGGGATTCCTATCGGAAAGCTCGACATGTATGTGGCTGCAGCAGGAATCAATCCACAGCGAGTATGTGGATCTCAACATGATCGTGTGTTTTTTTTTTTTTTTGTACATAACAAAAGTTTCATCTCCTTATTCAAAATTTAATGCTTGTTCTTCTGCAGGTTTTGCCAATTATGTTGGATGTGGGCACAAATAATGAAAAGCTCCTACAGAATGATCTCTGTAAGCTGTGAACTTAATTGGTTGATGTGGTGTAGATGTGTTTCCCTTAATATCTCATTCGTGTGTCTTTCCCATTTTACAGATTTAGGAGTCAGACAACCTAGGTTGGAAGGAGAGGAGTACCTTGAGATTATTGATGAATTTATGGAAGCTGCATTTACACGTTGGCCAAAGGCCGTCGTACAGGTATATATCTCTTAGTATCTTCTTTAGATTTATCTTTTGGTTGGAAGGATGACTAAATGATTCATTCTATCATACTAGTTCGAAGATTTCCAAGCGAAATGGGCTTTCGAAACATTGGAAAGATATCGGAAGAAATTTTGCATGTTCAATGATGATGTCCAGGTATGCTCTCATGATTGCAATCCAGTTGCTTTACATTATATCTACTTCCTGTGTACATCTTTTTTTTTTAATGATAAGGTTTGTGTATGACTTCTCAGGGAACTGCTGGTGTTGCACTGGCTGGACTATTGGGAACTGTAAGAGCCCAAGGTCGGCCTTTATCCGACTTTGTGAACCAAAAGATTGTTGTGGTGGGAGCTGGAAGGTACTTGGAGATTCATTTCAAATTGTTTACTACTGTATTTATATTTTTGCATTAACTTTCTTCTCATCTTCGCATTGTATTTTTCTTTTATTACTTTCAGTGCAGGGCTTGGTGTAACTAAGATGGCAGTACAGGCAGTTGCAAGAATGGCAGGTATCAGCGAGATTGATGCAACAAAAAACTTTTACCTAATAGATAAAGATGTAAGTTTCTGTTTCCCCTACTTGACTTCATCTGAATCGGTTTGTCTTGCTTGATATTAGATAATTAAGCTTGCGTAGTTCCATGGGTCAGTTGACTTTGAAGCTGTCATATTATTGTAATTTTTAGAGCTTGCTTTTGGATGTTGGTTTAAGAGCTTACCTAGAAAAAGTCAGAAAACGTTTAAAAAGCTATCCAATAGCCTTTCTTTTTGCATTGGTCAACATATTGTTATCTCATTTGTTTGCCACATAAGATCGTGCTCCTTTGAATATTTAATGAAAACGACTGATTTGGTCTTCAGGGTCTTGTCACCACGGAAAGGACAAAACTTGACCCAGGAGCTGTGCTTTTTGCCAAAAATCCAGCTGAGATACGTGAGGGAGCAAGTATCGTTGAAGTGGTAAGCCTAAGTCTTATTGCATTCTTGCCTTACCCAATACTAAAGTTTGACTTAGTGCTCTTTCTCTACTACATCTGAAGTTAGACATAATCATATTATAATATTTCTGTGTAAATTCAAAATGTCTTCAGGTGAAGAAAGTGAGGCCACATGTTCTTCTTGGTTTATCTGGAGTTGGTGGTATCTTCAATGAAGAAGTATGTGACTTTCTTAGACAACAAATACTTCCATGATATATGAATTTTAACAGTTTTACTTATATGGTTTACTGGTTTCAATCATCAAAGGTTCTCAAGGCGATGCGAGAATCTGACTCATGCAAGCCTGCCATTTTTGCTATGTCGAATCCCACCTTGAATGGTTTGTGTTTTTAGCTTTGCAAAGTAATGTAACACTATCTTTGAAAAATCTGCCCTGAACTTTTTTTTTTCTGACAGCTGAGTGCACTGCTGTTGATGCTTTCAAGCACGCCGGAGGAAACATAGTCTTTGCAAGTGGAAGCCCATTTGAGAACGTTGAACTTGGTATGTTATGGTGGGATTCATCAATGGTTTTTGTATCTAATTTGCTACAATCTAAAAGTAATCACATTTTCTTGTCCCACTTGCAGATAATGGTAAAGTAGGACATGTGAATCAGGCTAACAACATGTACCTATTCCCGGGGTTCGTTTTCTTTCTTGAAAACTGTTTCACTTTGTTGCATTTCAATCCATAGATTGTTACAGGATTAATGTGGCCATTATCCTTTTCAGGATCGGGCTAGGGACTCTTCTCTCTGGTGCACGTATCGTAACTGATGGAATGCTGCAAGCAGCTTCTGAATGGTAATGCTTGCGTTTGGTTCTCTTCTGTTTTCAACTAATAAAAATTGACCATTATAACAATGCTGACGATTAATATATCCAAACATACACAGCCTTGCTTCGTACATGACCGACGAAGAAGTCCAAAAAGGCATACTTTACCCTTCAATCAACAAGTATTTCCTTTAATTCCCTCTCATTCTTATCTGTTGATATTTTTTTTGTAAGTATCTTAAAACTGTTATGTGAAGCAATTGGTTTCTGAACAAAAATGCAGCATCCGACACATAACAGCTGAAGTCGGGGCAGCTGTTCTACGAGCTGCGGTTACTGATGACATTGCAGAAGGACATGGTGATGTTGGTCCCAAAGATCTCGGCCACATGTCTAAGGTATCAAGTAACTGAGATTTATTTGTATCAAAACATGTTTAAGGGTAGTTGGAAAATGGAAGCTAATTGCATCTTTTTTGATGCCAACAGGAGGACACAGTGAATTACATCACACGCAACATGTGGTTCCCAATTTACAGCCCTCTCGTTCACGAGAAATAGACTATATAATTCTCAGGTTTCATAGAAAGCCGAAAGACAAAAATCTTCCCTTTTTTTTTTTTTTCATTTGTGATCAACATTCTTTATCTTCAAAATGTGATATGTTTTAAAAAAGACAATGCCAAAAGAGGGCTTAAGAACAAGAACAGGGTTTAGTTCTAGGTCACAACCTGTACTTGTCCTTTCTTTTTGACATTTTCCAACTTGTTACGATTATGTCTGATGAAAGATAAAAAAACGGACTCTCTTTTTCTTGGCAATAATGATATCTTCATATCTTTCTTCTACACTTTCCTTTGAATCTGCTTTACCATTGTTGTTCTTAAACCTTTGGATTAAACCAAGGGATTTGGTGAAAGAAAAAGAGTAAGATTTAAGATTAGACAAACACTGGAGAATTGTTGGGGAAGGAAACTATGGACAAAACAAAAGTGGTAATTGTCGGAGGTACGGGATTCTTGGGTCAGCATCTGCTTCAAGCTTTCGCCGGCAACAATGGCGGTGATCTATACGACGTCGCGTTCACTCACCACTCTTCTCCACTTCCCCGCCGTTTACTCGACGCATTCCCTCATTTCCCCGCGTTTTCTGTCGATCTCAAATCCGGTTTAGGGTTCAATTCCATATCCCAGGACTTTGGTCAGGTCTGTCGCCGATTCCGTAATCCCTAGCTCGATTATGCTTTCTATTGCTTCGACTTCTTCGTTACCTGGTCAATGGACATGAATCTGTGTTTTAGACTCTCTGTTCTCCATTGATTACAGCCTGATGTGGTCGTGAATTGTGCTGCTCTGTCTGTTCCACGAGCTTGCGAGCAAGATCCAGATTCCGCCATGTCCATCAACGTGCCTACTTCTCTTGTAAATTGGTTATCAACTTTTGAGAGAAACAAAACCTTGTTGATTCATCTCTCTACTGATCAAGGTTAGTTGCCATTTGCATTAGCCACTATTTTAATCATCCCATTAGTCAATCATGACTTAGGCTTTTGGACTGTCTCAATTTCAGTATATGAAGGTGTCAAGTCTTTCTACAAGGAAGAAGATGAGACTGTTGCAGTCAATGTTTATGGGAAATCAAAAGTTGCAGCAGAGCTTCTCATCAAGGATAAGTGTCAGAACTTTGCAATACTGAGAAGTAGTATCATCGTTGGTCCTCAGACTGTATCACCTCTCCCCAAGACTCTCCCAATTCAGGTGCCTCTTAACACAATTTCGCAAATATAATCATATACACTTGAGAAGATCATTGAGTTTGCCATGAAACTGGTCTTCTTTATGCTTTAGTGGATTGATAGCTCCTTGAAGAAGGGAGACACGGTAGAGTTCTTCCATGATGAGTTTCGTTGCCCCATTTACGTTAAGGATCTCGTGAATATCACTTTGAAATTAATAGACAGATGGGTCGTCTCAGGTAGATTCTTTCTCCTGAGTCTCTATGTCTATCTGCATCATAGTAGAGAAACTTTAGAATCATAATAACAAAATGTTGTTGCTTGCTTTTAGATGAAAAACAGATGCAGCTGGTTTTGAATGCTGGTGGACCCGAGAGGCTATCTCGTGTTCAAATGGCTCAAGTGGTTGCAGAAGTCAGAGGATACGACATGTCTTTGATTAAACATGTGTCTGCATCATCGGTATGTTTGTAAGGCTCACTCAGTTGTTGATTATTTGCAGATCAGTCAGTAAAAGCTGTTGTCTTAGGTTGATCGAGGCGTGGTGTCACCCGCAGATATATCTATGGACATAACTAAACTGATCCAGACACTTGAGATCACTCCAACTTCTTTCAAAGATGGTGTTAGATTAACCCTTGAGTCTGAATCTCATATCCTCCCATGATATCTAATTTCCTTGTGTGCTCTTCTTACCATACACATACTACTTGTATGTTTTTTTTTTTTTTTTTTTTTTTTTTTTAAACTTCCATTAGAAAAAGGCCACAACAGCCTTAACATTACATGGCAAAAGTCTAAAAAAAAGGCCACAGGCCTAAACATACACGGCAAAAGCCCAAAAAAGGCCACAGGCCCATAAAAATAAAAGCAAATAACAGGATAAAATCTCGGTTTGAGAAAATCTCGGTTTGAGAAAACCAATGTAGAACAGCCATCGAATATGGATATGATTGATTTTGGAATTAAGGTTTTTGGTTTAAGAAACCAATTTGGTATGCTCACTTGCTCAGAATTCAGATATTATTTTAAAATGTTACTCTTTTTCTTTCAGATGTTATTGGAATTCTTTCGGACTCGCTTTAGGCTCTGTAAAAGATCGTTTGAATTCACAGAATATATAGAATTGTAGTTGAAATAGTTCTCCTTATTGGGAATAGATGCGATAATCTGATTAACTGAATGATTAGAATAATCTATTGGTTTTAGTCATTTTGTCTGATGATTACGCATCTCATTGTTCCTACTTCCTATATATAGGTTCTGTTGAAAACTCTCTATAACACAACTATGAAACCTATTCCATATGCGGTTAAGATGCTTATGTTCAGTTATATTAAAAAACATTTATTCAAATTATTCTAGCATTATTAACTTGGTGGAATAACATTTGATGACTTTTTCTCTTGTCAAGAACAACAACATTTTCACACACCTATATATAGATTGTTTGACCACAAAAAAAGAAAAGAAAAAGACACACTTATAGATTATATGCAGTGTTTTCACGCGTTTTACTATAGGTGTGTGATTTAACCTTGTCAATCTATGTTTTGATTTCTGTTCTTAGCGATATGATGAAGAAGGCTACGGGGAAAGAAGCTAAGGCTGTAACATTGGTCTATTGGGACATCAAGGAGTTTCCGGTTCCCCCTGGCTTTGATGCACGTCGGGTCCGTCCGTGCATTAATCAGTTGTTGGAAACTCATGGCTACTCTGGTCCTATCACCATCTACGCCGTTGGCATACTAACAGACGTCCACGTTGACATCCTTCGAGCTCTCTCTTCCACTGGGATCATTCTTTGTTACTCCCCCTTCGGTCAGTATATTCGAGTTTCTAGTCTTTAGTTTCTTCTGTTTATATAGAGAGTTTCTAAGCCCTTAGTTTCTTCTGTTTGTACAGAGAGTTTCTAATTTTTCTTCTGATCAACAGGTAAGACAGACATCATGTCGCTTATGTTTAAGTGGATGTGCAACAATTCACCTCCAGCTAATCTTTTGGGCATATGCGATCCGGATGCCTTCCCTCCACCTGAGATTGGATTCAACCTTTTCAGTCCGTTTCCATATTCTTCTCCTGAACAAGAAGACTCCATCAGCTGGATTAACTTAATTCTGACAGGTGGGTGTATTTCTCCTCTCTCACAGTGTTGTTGAAATAAAACCAGTTGCTCAACTAGCTTTTTATTTTCCCGCAGTGTCAGGAACACTTCAGGAGGATAAGTGCAGTGAAACGGTTGAATCCGCCACCTGGTCTTGCTTAGCATGCAAACCTCTTCATGGCGAAGGCTTTGAAACTTTCACCGGTCATCTCTCTTCCCAAGAACATAAAGATATGGTAATTAAGCATCCTAGCCAAACCAGACAGACTTGTTGTGTCAATACGTTTTTTTGAGTCAAACAACCCCATTACTTGTTTTCCCTTTCTCATTTCTCGTTTTGCTTGGCTAAATCTGACGCCATTTTATCCTTTTCCACTGGATGTGCATTTGTTTTTTGTTTTTATAAACAGTATAGGGACTACTTGCCTGTCGAGGATTATCTACCCTTGCCGAGATTGAGGGACGAGGATGAGAACCCTCCCACCATTGTGAGGCATCAACCAGAGGCAAGTTTTAATATCTAAATTTTAGTTTTATTTGAACCTCCTTTTATCTGCTTCAAAACCTCCTACCAATAGTTTTCCTTTTTCACTTCTGTAGAAGGCTACTCCAGAGGAGGCTGAGGCTGTAACATCGGTCTTTTGGGACATCAATATGTTTCCGGTTCCACCTGGCTTTGATGCTCGTCTGGTCCGTCCCTGCATCAGTCGGTTGTTGGAATCTCATGGCTACTCTGCTCCTCCCACCATTTACGCCGTTGGCAAACTAACAGACGTCCATGATGACATCCTTCAAACTCTCTTTTCCACAGGAATCACTCTTTATTACGCCCCCCATGGTTAATATCTTCTCATCTTATGCCTTAATCCCTACAGGATGATTAATACACAGTCTCAAGTCTTTAGTTTCTGGAACAGGTTCCGCAGACATGGTGTTGCTTATGTCTCAGTGGATTTCTACGAATCCACCCCCAGCTAATATTTTGGGCATATGCGATCCAAGAGGCTTCCCTCTACCTTTAAATGGATACAACCTTTTCCGGCCGTTTTCCTATTCTTCTCCTAAACAAGACTCCATCCTCTGGGGAAGCTCTCTTCTGGCAGGGGTGTGTTTGTCCTCTCTCACAGTGTTGTTGTTGAAATAACTAACAAATCTGTTGCTGAACTAGCTACTCCCCCCCCCCCCCCAGATTCAGGGGCTTTTGAAGTGAATACTTGCAGTGAAACGGATGAGTGGTATTGCTTACTATGCGATAATGTTGGTGGCAAAAGCTTTAAAAGTTTCACCAAGCATCTCTCTAGTCGAAGCCATTCACATGAGGTAATGAAGCATCCAAGCCAAACTGGACATACTTTTGTGTCAATACGTTGTCACTGTCTAACTATATTTTTGAGTCGAACAACCTCTTTACCACAAGTAGTTTTCCTTTCTCAGTTCTAGTTTTGTTTTGCCTGAATCTGGTAACGTTGAGATTTTAAATCTTTAGAATTCTGGGGTTTTTAATAATGAAAACAAAAACATTGTAGGGAAATTCTTCTAAGAAACGGAGGACGTGAAGAAGAAGAAAAAGAGTACTGGGCCCATGGAATGGTGTTGTTCTTCTATTGTTGGTGATTGGTTTGTTCTACTTCTAGCGGCAAATGTATATTTTCATCTCGTTTTATTTTATTTTTGTGGACTGTACGTACTTGTTAAGTAGTATGTTTCAAAATGATCAATAATTAATGTGGCGGCGATCGACAGTAAGAATGTTTGATAGTAATGCCGGCTTATAGCTCTTTCTTAGTTTCTACAATAGTAAAATTGTTTTCATAGGCAAATAAAACAGAGATGCATTGAAGAGCATTTAGTGAGGGCTGGGTTTGTCAAGTAGTATTTAGTTAGAGCTTGCTTTTGGATGTTGGTTTAGTTAGAGCATTAAGATGATACGACTTGTCCTTGATTAAAGATGTGTCTGCATCATTGGTAAGTGTAAGGGTTTCATCAATGATCTCTCAGTCACTCACATGTTGAATCAGTCTCGGCTGTTTTAATTTCTCAGGTTGATCGCGGCGTGGTATCTCTTTGGACGTAATTAAACTGATTCAGAAACTTGAGATCTCTCCAACTTGTTTCAAAGATGGTGTTAGATTAACGCTTGACTCTGAATCTCATACTCTCCCATGACTATTCTATTTCCTTCTGCAGCTGCTTTTTATGGATAAAATCTCTCTAACTTTTTTGCTTTTTCGTTACAAATCTATTTGATTGTGTTCATACCCTTATCTTTTAACAATGTAATCTTTGGTTCACATTAATAAAGTTATGATTTGATGTTAAAAAAAAAAAATCTCGGTTTGAGCAAACCAATGTAAAACCAAATTGAATATTGACACGGTTTTGGTATTATTAATTCGCTTCAGATTTTATTGTTCTTGACTTAAGTCTCGGTTTAAACCTGCCGGCTGCCGTCTTTATGGGAAAGAAACGGCACACAGTTTTATTAATCAGTGGGCTCGTCAAGGATTAGGCCTCCTATAGCCCCATATAACACTCATCAAAGCCCGACGCTTTTTACGTGGAAAGTGACACTTGATGATGTTTAAATATAAAAGAAACAGCACGTAGTCTACTAGACACGCAAATTCGTATGATTTTTATTGGGCCTAGCCCAGATGACACTCATCAAAGCCCGACACTTTTCTTTGTTTTTTTTTTTAACTTGGAAAGTGAAACTTGACGATGTTTAAATGTAAAAGAAACGGCACGTAGTCTAGACACGCAAAGTCGTTAATGATTCTTCGTCGTTCTTTGTATAACACAGGTTGGTCGTCTTCGCAGGATCCTCCAATCTCCAACATGTTAGCTTTGTAGAAACAATGACTTGAGAAGAAGAAGACCTTCCGAGAATCTTCTCTCCCTAGAATATTGTTCCTTGTCTTTTTTCCCCAACTCAAAGGTTGTTTCTGAATTGGAATCCTACAGGTATGGCTTCAATTAGAAAATTCTTCTGGTAATTTTGTTGTTGTTTGATTGATGTAAATACTTGGTACCTTTGTGTTTCTTGCGTGATTTGGGCTTGAATCGTGAAAGATTGTTTGAATAAGAATTGTAGTCGAAAATTCTCCTTATTATTGATGCAATAATCAGATCAACTCAATGATGAAATAATCTATTGTTTGATAATTTACTCAACTTGATCTTCCTTAAGCAGAAGCGCTTCTGAAATTGAATCTCTCTATAACAGTATAACCACATAACTGAAATCTTTTCCATCTCCGGTTAAAAGATGCTTATGTTCAGTTAATCCGTTCTATTGCATGTTGACTATCTTGAGATTGAAATCTAAAATATATATATATATTTACAGGACTTTGGAGTTGTACATATATTTCAGCAGTAGAGGTTTAGCTTGAGATGATATGACGAAGCAGCAGCAGCAGCAACACATTGCCATATTTACCACAGCTAGTATTCCATGGCTTACGGGAACTGCTGTTAATCCTCTTTTCCGTGCTGCCTACCTTGCAAATGACGGGGATAGACGGGTCACTTTAGTGATTCCATGGCTGACACTGAACCACCAAAAGCTTGTCTACCCAAATAGCATCACTTTTAGTTCCCCATCAGAGCATGAAGCTTATGTCCGCCACTGGCTTGAGGAGAGAGTCTCATTTCCTTTAGGCTTTGAGATACGTTTCTATCCTGGAAAGGTATGACTCACCTTGCCCTTTCTTAAGAATCTTCTTTTGGGTACCAAACACAGACTGCTTCCTTTCATATACTCAGTTCTATTCACTTCCCGTCTGTGCTTTTTCTATCTGAAATTTCTTTGTGTAATTTACATGAATTTGCATATACTTCATGTCTTACTTATATGTGCATGTTCATGCACGTTATTCCTCATACTTCTTGTTAACCATTCGTACGTGTTGTAGATGTATCTATTTTATGGATTTCCATATTTTTGCCATGAATATCATTTTCTCTCTTTTTGCGTGTGAATTAATTGGTACCTGTGAATGTTAATTCCATGTTAAGTACTGATTTTATCTCTCTTAGTTTAGTTTCCATCTCGCCTTGCTGAGTGTATGACAGTAACTTTTACGTACTACTCTGTAACTGTGTTATACCAACCTTAGCAATTCAAATTATCTTATGGCAGTTTGCTACGGACAAAAGAAGTATTCTTCCTGTTGGGGATATATCTGATGCCATTCCTGATGAAGAGGCAGACATTGCTGCCCTCGAGGAGCCTGAGCATCTCACATGGTTTCATCATGGCAAAAAATGGAAAACTAAGTTCAACTACGTCATAGGAATCGTACACACCAACTACTTGGAATACGTAAAAAGAGAGAAACAAGGCCGCGTCAAAGCTTTTCTCCTCAAGTACTTAAACAGTTGGGTTGTTGGGATTTACTGCCACAAGGTAAACTTCTTTACAGCCACTAGGACATGATGAAGTGATTGCTCAATTATGTGAATATATTGGTTTTTAAATATGGTTATCCAATGACTGGGTTTAATTTGAGGATCAAGACAGTTTGTTGGGCTGTGACCACAATTATGGCCAGTCTTTTTGATGTGAATCAGGACTTGTACCAATGATGTTACTCCTGCAGGTAATCAGGTTATCTGCTGCGACTCAAGAATACCCTAAATCTATAGTCTGCAACGTTCATGGCGTCAACCCTAAGTTTCTGGAGATTGGGTTGAGAAAACTAGAACAGCAGAAGCTCCAGGAGCAGCCCTTCACTAAAGGCGCATACTACATTGGTAAGATGGTCTGGAGCAAAGGATACAAGGAGCTTCTTAAACTACTTGAGAAACACCAAAAGGAACTCCCTGAGTTAGAGGTTGATTTATACGGTGATGGAGAGGACTCTGAAGAGATCAAAGCAGCAGCCCGAAAACTAGAGTTGACGGTTAATGTTTACCCAGGACGTGATCACGCTGACTCACTATTTCACAAGTAAGTCTCTAGTTTAACAGCCTCAAATATGCATCATGACCTTATACATTGATTTCCTTGCAGTCTATCGGATGTTCCTATGTATATATAGCTCAAACTTTTCCATCTTCTGTTTCAGCTATAAAGTGTTTCTCAACCCCAGCACGACCGACGTTGTCTGCACAACAACTGCAGAAGCCTTGGCGATGGGAAAAATCGTAGTGTGCGCGAATCACATATCGAACGAGTTCTTCAAACAGTTTCCCAACTGCAGAACCTATGACGATGGAAAAGGTTTTGTTAGAGCCACAGTCAAGGCTCTTGGGGAACAACCATTGCAACTAACAGAGCAACAGAGGCATGAACTATCATGGGAAGCTGCTACACAACGATTTATAAAAGCCTGTGATCTGAGCCGGTTATCAAGAGCAGAATCAAACATATCAAAGAAAAGTGTGTTTGCGTCGTCTTCGATTAGTATGGGGAAAAACCTGGAGGATATGTCTGCGTATATTCATTTCTTGGCGTCTGGATTTGAAGCATCAAGAACAGCTTTTGGTGCTATACCTGGAAGCTTGCAGCCTGATGAAGAGTTGTGCAGAGATCTTGGCTTGCCTCTCAACACTCCTTCCCCAAATACTCGCAAGCAAGATTGACCGTTTGACTGTTTCTTATTTCCTTTGCCTGGGTATTATTGGGATTATCTTTGTGTATGGTCAATGTATCATTTGAATCATTCTATGGCTTTGGACTTGGTTAACACATTGATGATATGTTATATACTATATATATATATTAACATGAAAGTTAGATTTTTCATATATGGCGCGGTTCGTTTGTACATTCAGATGCAGCTGCCGAATGATGTTCGTTTTATTTAATACGATTTAGATGGATGAGTTAGTTTCTAAAACTCATTTGAAAACCTCTGTGAATCAACTGGGAGTCGAGATTTGAAATGACTAAAATACCCCTAATAGAATTAAAGAATTACATCACCACACGATCGTGGATTCAGGTAACTAAAAGCTTTTCTACTCTCTCCGTTGGAGAAGGAAGAGTCTGTTTCCGGCGAGCTCTACAGATTTACGGCGAAGGCAAATCGTTACAGCTACATGTATGTTCTCATCTTAGCTTCAGGTTTTCGTTTTTGGGCTCTGAAACTGATAGACTTTGATTGCTTTGATGGGGTTGATATCTCTGGTTAGATTTTGTTTTGGAGGTTTCTTTGTACTGATATGTTGTAAAATCTGATTTTAAGAGCTCCAATGCCTTAGGAAAAGTTGTGTGCTTGAAGTGAAATGTCCAGTTATTTTTTTTTTCTTTTTGATTTTGTGTTTCAGGGAACACAAGATCTAGTTTCTTCTAGTTAGAGACGAAAGATTGAATGGCTAACACTGCCTGCTTTATTATTGTGGGTCGGAATGATATTCCCATCTATGAAGCTGAAGTTGGATCTGCTGCCAAAGTACATTCCATGATCCTGCTTTTTTGCTCCATTCTCCTCAATTTTTATTTTTCTTACATCCATGTTCCGTTGGATCCATAATTCTAGGTTCGGAATCTTTAAGATAATAGAATAAGTCCGCATCATACCTCCCTGCTCCTTCTTTTGACTTTGGTTTCCTGGTCACTGTTTAACACTCAATATTTAACCACTATGAAACTGTCACAGAAGAGGTGCAAAGGTTGGCTAGTACTATTGTTCAACATCTTTTTGGTGTAATAAAGTTTCACCCTGTTTTCATGACCAAGCAAGCAGGCATTGTTCTTACTAGGGTCTTAATGTTTTTTTTAGTTTTCTTAAGATCATGTAAGCTTGCTGAACAGGAATTGCATGACGAATCGGTCTCTGGTCTATTGTAGGGTTGCTTATACTTGCTTAATATTGAAAGTTTCTCCTTTTTGGTTTGATACTTTCATGTAGCTGGTAGATATATGTTTCAACCACGATAGCAATTAGTGTGTTGTCTAACGATAGCAATCAGTCTCTCAAACCATTCTTTCTATTTGGCAGAGAGAAGATGCTGCTCAGTTGCACCAATTTATATTACATGCCGCGTTAGATGTTGTCCAAGACCTAGCATGGACTACAAGTGCCATGTAAGTAAAGTCCCTAGTGAAAATTTCGATTATGTTTTAAGGATTCATCTCATTATCATATAACTACTCAGGTTCTTGAAGTCAGTAGACAGGTTTAACGATCTGGTTGTGTCAGTGTATGTTACCGCAGGCCATATCCTTTTTGTTTGTGCAACTACTTTAGACCCTTTGAAATTAAAGTGCAAAAAGTTTGCTTCTTCTCATTCATTCATCGAAATAGTGTCAGCGTGGTAGATGTTGTAAATATTTGTTTTTTCCTTAATTTATCAACACATACCCGACTCATGCTCCTTCATGATTCTCGCAATGAGGACGGCATCAAGAGCTTCTTTCAAGAGGTGCATGAGCTTTATATAAAGGTATATTCGCAGTTGTTTGGTGCTGTCCTGATTCGGTTTCCATCACCATCATCAAAATCGTTTGTTTCATGCAGATTCTTCTGAACCCCTTGTATCTTCCTGGTTCTCGGATTACGTCGTCACATTTTGACACCAAAGTACGTGCACTTGCAAGAAAGTATCTGTAGAGAAGAAGGAGATTCTGTTTGCATTTGGTGGGTGAGGTCCAATGCCCAATTTACGCTTGTATCCATATCGCATAGTTCTCAGGTCAATTTGTTTCTCTTTTCTTTTGAGTGCCTGGATTTCTGTTATTTCTAACTTGCAAGCAACATTTCAATATTATTGGGATTCCTTGTTTAGTATGAGTAATGATCCATTCAATCCAAACCCACAATTTCATCTTTGGTTGTTATTAAAAGTCTCTGTTTTCTTTGTATTATCCAAGACTTTTCCTCTGAATCTATGGGAAAACAAGCAGCTACTTCTTTAAAACTAAACGCCTAACATAAGTTAATGTGAAACTTTAATTGCTCCTAATCTGCAATTAATAAGTAAGGTACTTTTGTGGAGACAAAAAATTGTTGTAAAAAAATTGTTGTTTTACACGATTTGACTGAATTTGATTGGACTTGGTTATGGCAAACGGCGACGTATCAGTAGGTAGGTATTCAAGTTTGTAACGGCTGGTTCTTTAGTTTACTTCATCATAGTTGTTTTTCTCGCCGATGCTCTCTCTCATTTAGAAGAAAAGAAAAATACCTAATTTTGTTTTTTTTTAGTCTCTATCCAATTCTTCTCTGTATAAGGAAATACGATATAATGAGTTCAAAATTCGCTGGTCAAAGCTATGCCAACACGTGGAGTTAATTTCTAGCCTCACTGAGACAACAACACTTTTATCTTCTTGTCCAAACCAAATTAGAGGATGTTATTTTCGAAGGCGACATTTTTCGATCAGTTCGAGAGTTACAGATATAGATATGGCTAAGACCAGAAACGGAGAGGCTAAGCAAACAATCCTCTTGCCTGACTTGTGGGTCACTCATTATCAAATCAGTAGAAGCGGTCGACCTATTAATTCGGTATTTCATAATCTTCTAACTTTTCTTTGTATTGATTACGACTACATGTCTTCATGTGATGTTTTCTTTTGCATATGTACTTTATCCCTTCATGGCATCTCTATAGGACTATAACCTCTTGTGTTTGATTTTGTGATTTTAACTAGGCTGAATTATATATGATTTTTTATTTAGATTATACTATGATTCTGACGATCCGTGTGGATTTTTGAGCTTTTGAGGTTTAATTAGTTTGTAACAAAACTCTTGTACTCTTGGAATTGAATCAGTTTCTTATTTAACAATCTCTATGGGGTTACCGTTGTAAAGGCTAAATTTATGCTAAGTTTTTTTTTTTTTTTTTTGACAAAAATGTATGCTTAAGATGCATGAGTATATACTGTAAATTGTGAGATTTGCAACATTTTGGATTTTTTTTGGAGAAGTGGTATTTCATCTTGTGGAACATGTATGATGACACAAGTCTGATCATAAAATTTAGTATTTGATTCCATTAGAAGAAACATAAGCTGTATCATTTTGAATTTGTATGTGCCACTTATGTGGCCAATTGCTCATATTGGATAATTGCTAATAAGAAAACCATGCAACCTATATGAATTATATGAGTAACTCGTGTGCATTAGTGGGTTACTTATGATGCATGCCATATTAATCTATATATTGAAGCTAAAGGGTTTAGAGTTCACTTAAGAGATACCAACAAGTGCATATACAAACAAGATAATTAATGTGGATAACACTTGTGTTTAGTAGTAATGGCTTCAACTATCTTTTTTAATAAAGTTAGATTCTTGTTGAGTGCTATTATATTCTCATCGATCATTCAAACCTTTTTTTTTTTTACCGTAACATCGAAGTATCTAACTTCGGATTCTTGTCTCAGAATGGTTATTGCTCATCATTGATTCTTTATACCTTCACATATTTTACAGCTTTTATGGTGTAAAACTAGTCCTCTTACCTTTCGAGTTTCTGCTTCAAATAACAGTACTACTTGAATGTAAGAACAAGACAAAAGTTTTACTCTAAAACAACATTCTACAGACACTTCCGTAGAAAAGCAGCTCAGGTACAATTACAAACATTCACTAAAATCTTCTTTCTCATGTTTCTCATTGGCTTTTAATCTCATATATATAAACAAATACATTATTGTTTTCATCATTATATATGCAAGTCACATGATTACGTGAAGAGCGAAATCTGGCTCAACAGAGAAACAGCTGAGGAAGAGAAGTACCAAGTGTGTTCAAGGTGCAAAGAGATTGGACATAACTGCACTACTTGTCCTTATCCAGTTATCTACAAGACTGTAAGTAATATGTCTTTAATTCTCTCACAACACTCATTTATATTCTCAATGAATTCTACTTAATTATTCATTTCACATATTATAAGTAGAACTAAAAAGATTTTATACATTGAATTTGCAGAACCCTTATGCAGGAACGAGGATTCATAGGTGCAGTCGATGTCACTACCTCGGCCACAACGTACGTACATGTCCTCGAGCCGTCCCCAACTAGTTATTTTCAACGAACAAATTAAACGCTTGAAATCACTAGCTATTTATGTTTGTTTTTTCAATGTATTTATCTAATAAAAAAAGCTTACTTGTTATTGTTAATTAGCTTTTCAAAAATTATGTTGCTGTTGTGATCCCTTTGTTCGTGGTACAGCCAAGATTGATTTAAAATCCCTTTCAATATGTTTTCATAGACAAGCGATACGTTTTAATTTTTAGGGATTGACGATGTATTTCTCGTGAACAAACTAAAGATCTTGGGAATCTTTTCTATTTTGTCTAATACTTTTATTTTTGTTATCAAAAAGATAATGTTGGATTTTATTCTCATAAAAAAAACGTTTTCTAAGAAAAAGTAAAAAAAAAAATATTATTATGAAAAATGTAGAGAGAAAAACGGACCTAGTGTATCTCCTTGTTTATGCATAAAAAGATTTTTTGGGTAGCCGTTACTAAACAGAAAAACCCTTTTGAGTCTCTCCTGCTTCTACTCAGGCCACAGCGATTTCAAGTCTTCCTCTCATAGATTAGGATTTTTTGCGATTGAAATTTCTTCTTAGTTTGAGTTATAGTTTAAAATAGATATGTAGTTAGTTTCTTCGATATATTCTCGTTAAGATGTGGCTGTTAACTAGGGTTTAATTAGGGTTTTATCAATTTCTTGAGGAATTATGACAGAACCTTTTGATTTGAATCGATCCGAGTCCGAATCTGATAACAACAACAACGTTATTCCTACTTTTGCAATTGATAACTCTTCTCAAGGGTATGTTTCTCTTCCTCCGTCTCTTAAAAATAAAAAAAAAAGTCCTCACCTTATTTTTCTCGTAGTAACGTGGACCTGACAAATTCATGGATGGCCATGGAATATACGGAACTTAATTTTGTATGCGAGTTACGAAAAGTCTATACACACTCGTATTTTTTTTTTTTGCATATTACTAGATTTATGTGTTTTGCTTCTGTCCCTTAATCAACCTTTTTCGCTCCTTAATTCTGTAATTTGGTGTATAATTGTTGCAACTTGATGAATTTAGAGGTCTTATATATGTGATTGAGGTTTTGATGGTGTAATATGTGATTAAGATTGGAGATGAAATAATTTTGGGAAAATTATGATCAGTTTATGTATATGTTTATTTGTCATTGGGGCTTGATCTTATGATTGCTTTTTGATGTTTGTTTTGTGGTTAAAGATACAGAAGAGTGAGTGGTCCGACCCGAAGATCAACTAAAGGAGGATGGACATCCGAAGAGGTACGTAGCTCTTGTTCTTTCTTGTTTTTTTTTTGCAATTTTCATGTTTTTGTGATTGAAATCTTATTTCCATCATCTATAGGACAAAATTTTGACGAAAGCTGTGCAAATGTACGAGGAGAAGAACTGGAAAAAAATTGGTAAATAATATTTTGATTGTTTCCTTAATATCAATATACACATATATTATATAGTTTGTTACACTTGTTTTTGGTTTAGCTGAATGTCTTCCCAAGCGGAAAGAGAAGAGGAGGAATGATGTTCAATGTCAGCACCGTTGGCTAAAAGTTCTTCATCCAGACCTCAACAAAGGAGCTTGGAGAAAATATGTAACTTTTGATTCCCTTCTTGATATATTTGCTATGTTGTTTCATTATTGAGTGATCATATATATATATATCTTGCATGCTATTCAGGAAGATGATCTCTTAAGTGAATTGGTTAAGGAATATATGGAGAAAGATAAGCCTCAATGGTCGAAAATTGCAAAACAACTCCCTGGTCGCATCGGCAAGCAATGTCGTGAAAGGTCTTTTACATTTGTTTTTCTTTTTACATTTGGTTTGTGAACTAGATATATCAGACCACATTTTGCCCATAAATCTGGTTACTTTTTGTTATGTCTTAGGTGGCATAATCATTTAAATCCGACTATTAGAAAAACTCCATGGACTAGAGAAGAGGAATTAATTCTCGTTCAAGCGCAAAGAGAACATGGCAATAAGTGGGCAGAGATTGCCAAGCTCTTGTCTGGAAGGTTTGTCTTAAAAACTTTGAAAATATTGTTGTGGATTTAACCTCTTTGTTCTGATAATTTGTTTGTTCTCTAAAATATTGATCATGCATGGAAACTCACAGGACAGAGAATAATATTAAGAACCACTGGAACTGCTCAGTTAAGAAGAGATTGAAGCAGTTTCCTAGTAACCTCTTCTCTGGTGTCATCAATAGTTGTAGACATGAATACAACTTTTTCAATCAAAGCAACACGATGGCCGAGAGTTGCATAACATTTCAAATCAAGGAAGCTGAAAAGAGTCCTCAAAGAGATTCCTTGGAGTTAACTTTAGGACTTATGAATTGGAGGAACACGCCTTCATCCACAAGCTCTCTTAGAGGAGAAGAATCAGTCTCATCATCAGTAGAATCAGATTGGTCAAGACTCAATGGTAAGGCTGAAATATTTCATTGGACGACATATTCTACAATTAATCATCACATGTTAATAACAAGTCCTCATGTAAAAGTATCAGAGAGTGTAGAAACTCCACAGAGCAGCAACAACGATAATGTGTGCGTAAAGGAAGTGAAGGAGATGCAAGAGAGACTGAGGATGGCTGCGAGTACTTTCAACACACCCTCCATTATCTCCAAAAGAAGCTCACCAGCTTCAGGTTTGAAACGGCTCAGACAAAAAGACGACACGCCGTTTCAAATAGATGCTCGAAGTCACATGTCAAGCGAGGAAAAGCAGTCAATTTCATCCAAATACAGACGCAACACTTGCTCTGGCTCAAAACCCTTGGAGAGGCGTTTAGATTTTGACTTTCTGTGACAAGAAAGCGCTTTTGAGTTCCTTTTTAGCTTTCGTTCTTGGAATCATAAAGTTTAATTAACTCTTTAAACTTTGCTTTATTTTTCTTGATGTACAAGTAAACATAGGTTTGATGTGAAATCTAGTTTTAATTATTTTCCCAAAATTTTAGGCTTTGATAGTGGTAGTATTTAATTTATTCTGATTCCGATATTAATAGCATAATAATCAAGAAGGAAGACGGAAGCTTCTCCTTCTATGTACGTAATTTCTCATCACCTTCCTAATTTCCTAATCCGAAAAGAAAGTTTTGAAAAACCCTAATATAAGTATACAAGTTCCTCTCGTGAAAAGAAAAAGGAAACACAATCTATTAGTGTCTCGTGAAATTCATCATTCTCTGTGTTTCAGCGTGCTAAGCAATAGAATGACTCGTAAAATCCAAATCACGGCCATATCGGCGGAAGATCTCGTCGACGGTAGAAAACCGGTGGATAAGAACGCCTTCGTTGCCTTCAACATGGCAGGGAATTATTGGAAACAGCCATTGAGAACGAGTCTCGACGAGGTAGGTGGGAATCATCCGATGTGGGAGGACAAGCTAGAGACGGAGTTTTCGTCGGAGAAAGAACCGACGAGCGTGATGTACGTGCAGGTATATTACCGGAGTTCAGGGAAGGATAAGCACGTGGGAACGGCACGTGTGCCGGTAAAGGAATTTACTGGAGGATATGCGCCGGAGGGATTTATGCACTGTCTGAGTTACAGATTGTGGGACGAACAAGGCCGAAGAAACGGGATTGTCAATTTCTCCGTTAGGATTCTGCCAAACAAATCTGACACTACTAAATCCGGTCTTGTGCCTCCGTTTTGGTTACGTTTTAGTTAGGTTACGACTCGACATTTTAGCAAACATATCCTGACTGATTTGGTTTATTATGGTTTTTATCTAATTTGTTATTATAGTGTATACATTTGCAAATTCGGTCTAGTGAATTAATTTCTGTTGCTATTCGTTTGAGTCAACTGAAAAAAAAAAATAGGGGTGTTGTTAAAAAATCATGAATTTTAATAGAATTGAAATCCAACATTAATTCAATGTTATTCAATTAATAATTCTAAATCGTGCTTTAAAATATGATTATGTTATTGGATCTTATATTTGTAAATCATGTATGATACTCTCTTGTTTCCAAAAGATTGATGTTTTAGAGTTTTCACATATATTAAGAAGGGAAATTGTTAAAAATACCCCTTTTGGTGTGCCTCTTTTCAAAGATGCTCCTTTTAGATGTCCATTTTCAAAAATGTCCCTTTTTAAATCTGAAATTTTTATAAAGTTTTATTAGGTTTATAAGGTACTTATGGATTGTAACTACTACTTGAAGACTCGATCCAAGTATTTATAAGGTTTTATAAGGTGTTTTTAAAGGTTTTACAAGTTATTTTAAAGGAGTTTTAAGGTTTTTCAAAGGTTTTACAAGATATTTTAAAGGTTTTTAAAGGTATTTAAAATGCATTTATAAGGTATTTATAAAATATTTATAAGATTTTAGATACATAGAAATGTAGTTTGTGTATGTTTTAATAATATCACATACATATTTGGGTAAATCTTATATTTTTAAGAGCATTTTTTATAAGGTTTTTAAAAAGGGTATTTTTGAAAAGTGGCATTAAAAAGTGTCATTTTTGCAAAAGCCCCTAAGAAACAATCATTGTTTAATTATTTGTCAATCATTTTTTAAAATTAAACATTCTTTTAATAATTTTGAACCAATAGTAATATGAAATAGTTAATCATTACGTATTGAAGTCTACGATTTATAAATATTAATTAATAAAATAAAAAACTTAGAAAATCAATCTTTGTGGAACAAACCCAAATCACTAGAACGACATCAATCTTCTAGGAACAGAGAGAGTAGATTTTAAAGTTTGGTGTTATTTATTTAAGATTTCAATTATTTTATTAAAATCCAATGTTATTCAAAAATTTTAAAACTTTTAAAATCTTTGTATTTTAAGTCATTTATAATTATTAGAATCAAAATCCACACAAATAGATTCTTAAAATTAATATCAATGACTGAATAATAAGTGAATAATACCAGCTTAAATAGATGGTAATGGTTATATTATTATGTACTTATTTTTCTCATTTAAAAAGAAAATAAAGTAAAATCGAGATTATATTATATTTTTGGATTTATTGTTAATATATTTAAAAGTATAGTCTAAACTATATCATTTAATAACAAGGTCTTAACCAGAAAAAAGTTTCTCAAAATTGGATATTATTATTGTAATGTTTTAAATAAATTTTTTTACTTTCCTATATAATGTTGTTGAAACACTTTATCAACTAATGTTATCACAAAATTGTTACTCTCCTAGGCTCTAAGAACACACACACGTAATGCAGTCTCTGTATTGAACATAAAAACGGCAAGCAGTTTCATGTGCTCTTAAATGGGCGTAAACTAAATAGAAAAATTGATATAAATGGGCCGGATACTTTAAATTAGGGAGTTAAAACTAGGCCTGGTCAAATAAACCGAACCGACTGTACCGAACTGAAACCGAAACAAAAAAATTGAACCGAACCGAACTGAAAATTTGAAAATAACCGAATGGATACTAAATTCTATAACCGAAATAACCGTAACCGAATCGGTACCGAACCGAAATATTTCGGATAACCGAAATACCCGAAATACAATTATATTTTCAAAATAATTAGTTATTTATAGACCAAATAATCAAAAATACTTGAAAAATATATAAAAATAGTAAAAATACTCGAAAATAACCGATATATATCCAAAAATATCCGAAAATACTCAAAAATAACCGAAATATCCGAAAATTTCCTAGGCAAAATAACCGAATGGATACTAAATTTTAAAACCGAAAGACCCGGAACCGAACCGAAACCGAACCGAAATTTCAAAATATCTGAATGGATACTAAATTTTGAAACCAAAATAACCGAAACCGAATAGACCCAACCGATAATCGAACGGTTAACCGAAAGCCGAGGCCTAGTTAAAACGGCCTGAAGCGAAGCAATGGAATATAGATTATGGTTGTCGTTTGTGCTTAATCAAGTCGTACGCTGTGTCGTTTAAAAGAAGAAAGCATGTATTGCAGTCTCTGAGCAAAACATAAAAACGGCACCGAAACTGTCAACTTCGCCTATAATAAACTAGGAGATGAATGTTTGCTGCTGCTGAGACGAAGAAATGAATCCTCAAACCGATAAAGTGGTGAGAAGAACGACAATGGTGGCGACTGCTGTTGCTTCCTACTTTCTCTTAACTGGCGATTACGGTCCCGAACCCAACGTTCTTGATCCCGTTAGTTCCCATTTTTTCCTTGAATATCTATCTGGTTAGCTGATTAGTTTTTAACAAATTGGAATCAGAAGATCGATTTAGGGTGATTCTTAGCATTTATATTCGTCAATGAGATTTCTGGTTGAGATTTTGGTGACTTCAGGTTTAGTTGTTTTTGGAACATCTGTTCATGTTAGTTATCGAACATGGGTGGGTGTTTTGAGTCTTGAGATGCTTTACCTAAATGGTATTTTGCGTATTTGCAGATCAAAAGGAAGATATTATCAGCACAAGATTCTGTCAAGCAATTCATCTTTGGACCAAAGGGAGGGCCATCTGGGAAAGAACAATCTGACAATGCTAAATGAAACATGTAGCTAGAAATCTATGTCAATTAATCAATCTACTTTTGTGTGATCAACAACAAAGGTTACTTTGACTTTTTTCCAAGTCTTAATCTCTTCCATACTAGTTGCACAATCAAAGATGATGTTTTTGAAGCAAACCCAGTCAGACACCAATGTACATGCCAGATCAATCTAATCTAGAATTACATATTAACAAATCAGCACATGTCTTTCCTAAGAAATACTACTATGTAGAGCCTCAGCCTGAAGGAGAAATAGTCAGTTAATTCTTCGCCTTCTGAATGCCGGGTGAATGGTAATGTCTAAAGAATCGAGTTTGTCGATACTCTCTATACATTCTCGCATTCTCTTTACAACTTTAGGTATATTCGCAGCGTTTCTCGACATTCTTTCCTTGAGCTGAATCCATTTCTCTCCAGAGTCTTGCTCTTCAGTTCCCAACACAACAGGTACTTGTGCTTCTGCATTACCAAAGATTGGTTAATACAGTAAACTGATATGAGAGGAAAGATCAGTGCAGGCTCTTGTGTTTATTATGAACCATTCTCAAACAAAGTCTCTTATGAACTACAAGATTATTCTGTGCTTATTTTCTGACACAGCAGACTGGTTGATATAGCATACTGATAAGAGACGAAGAAGAAGACAAGAATAACTGCAAGCTCTTATGTGACAAGTTGTTCAAAACAAAGTTTCTTATGAACTAGCGTTGGGAACATAGCATATAAAGACGCAAACAACAAAAAGACTCTAGCTTTTAGCTAAAACCTTGCCAAGTTGTAGTGAGTGTTGTTGATTCATCATAACAAGCCATTACTCTCATATTTGACTCTACAAAAGATTATCCATTTTGAGCATCAATGCACACAGCCAAAATACCAAAATACAGACCTCTAATCAAATGGTGAAGACAAAAGACACGCAATTTTCAAGAATAAGCCCTACATTGATTTAGACCTGCTTATAACCAAAAAGTTGATTTGGCAGAAACCAAAAAAGAAAAGAAGGAACCTGCCTGCGATAGTGAGGCACGGAGACGGCAGAGGATCCGACCCGGAATCGATGTTGGGGAAAACGGGTATGTGAGAAGAAAGCGCAGAATCAAGGGTGTTCCTGAGATGATCCGGTAGGGTTTGCCTGTACTCGGATATCTTCTTCGCCATCTGCTTCACATCTGACTCCAATTTCTCCAGATCTCCTTCATCCATCTCAAGTTCCGGATCTAGACCCATGGATTCCATCTACAGAGTCGAGATTTGTGGTTCTCCGATAACTCAGAAGAGAGCGACTACAGAGGTTTCTTTTTCAAAATTGAGGAGCGTCTTCAAGACTGGGACTGCTATAATAACGTTATAAGAGGTTTCTCTGCTAAAACGACGTCGTTAATCCACCCAATTTGCTCTTCCATTATTGTTGAAATCATTATTTATCGGGGTTTTACAACAAACAAACAAAACATGTGTAGACCCTTTTAGAGGGGAAAAATAATTGTGAAATCAAAAACCATTTGTAGATGTACTTCCTGACGACTCTTTGGAATGTGACCGTGAGGTATAATAGATGCAGCCATTTTCTCACTATCAATACTATGACTTCAGAGCTTCGCGCCGAAGGAGGGCTTTATAGTCACAGCTTCTCTTAGCACAGCTTCTTGCGTCAATGATACCACCAGCTGCACACACAAACTATATGTATTTTTACTTCTTTACGCTTGAAAAGAACACGAGCTCTATTTTGGCATTCAACTAGCTCTATTTGATGCTTAATGGGAGCTTCAAAAACTACATTAGATACTTCATTCTTCTTCGGTGCAACAACGTACCTCTCCCTTTCTGTTGAACATTTTGCCAGTGGCAAAACCGCGGCTTTCGGACGCGATTGGACTCACTATCTGCATAACGAAAATTGTGTAAGTATATTTGTCTTGTTCAAAGTTTTCATTTCTAGAGGATTCAGTCACATCTTTGAAAATAAATATGTTGTGGTTTACTTCATTTACCATGTAAATGTAAACACGAAGATAAAAATCCCTAAGTGGTACTGATGTGGTAGATTTATAAACTTGTAATGAATATCAGCTAAACAAGCAAGTTTATAGTTGTTAATGTTCCTAATTGTCATGCTGGACCAGCATGACAGGGGTCTTCAGATCAAAGATGCACCATATTGATATATACGGTTTCTGGCTCTCCAAAACAACTCAAAGTTGCGCAAAATGTTTTAAGCAATTTGAGTTTCAGTTTACCTAAACAAACATTTGGTTTTCTATCAGTAATAACTTTTCCTTAGAAAAACTTCTCGTATTCTTCACAAGAAAAAAAAAACCATGAGCTTTTCTTACCACAAACAACAACCAATCATCAGCTCTTAGAGGTCGGTGGAACCACATCCTGCAAAGGGACATTTTAAGTAACAAACATTTACTTGAGGCATTGGTTTTGGAGATGGTAAAACCAAGATATTAGACGATCGAGCAGGTCTGTCATTATGTGTGCGCCAGCGTGTACATATGTGAATTACATGGTTTGTACATATGTTATGGAGAATGATACAAACTCAAACTTGGCTAAAAGAAAAGAAAAAGCTTACGAGTGGTCCAGGCTAAGAGCAGCTACACTCATGCCCTCTCTGCGGTGAGGGTTTAAACTGATAGAGGCGAATATCAAATCTGAAGCATACGCAACCACACATCTGTGTAACAATGGCGGGCGTAAGACAATCAGAAAGACTGCAAGACACATGATATATATGTCCAAATAAACGCCCAAGTTGTCAATGTTAAGATAATCTGGATTACATTTCAACTATATCAATCGGTGTACTTAAATATCCCTGATAGATGAACTCCTTAGAATGTTAAAAGGTGAACATTACAATTCAAATAATCTAGATATGAATAAGTACCAAGTTTTTAGGCGGCTTTCAGTTTAATACCACTGAAGTAGAGTTGCTCACCTGTGCAAAGCTTGATCAGCATCAGAAAGTTTTCCCTTTGCTCTAAACCAATATTTCAGTCTGCAAGATGATTTTAAGAAAGAAATGGTTAGTTTTTATCAGTAACCACAAAAAAATTGAGTACTAAATGTTTAAAGAGTGACAAAATGAAATACGCTCGATAGTAGTAAACAACAAAAAATTGATTTATTCAGGAGTTAGACAACTAGGTTAACCTTGGAGGAGACTTTGTCTGTTCTGTAGAATAATTTGGCTCACAAAATCGAATATCTATAGGGAATGAAGCATTAATTTCAATTGCAACTTTGTTTCGGTAATCCCTGAAATGAAGAAACAATTATAACTCTGAGCTCTTGGGATAATTGGTCTGGCAAAATACTTACACTTACCTAGGTAGAAGAGGGTCAGTTATACGCCGCTCAAGCATCTCCTCCCTTGGTAGAAGCTGCAGTATATAGGGATTTAAATGGCAACCATCGCAATTCATTATAAGCCTTAAAGTAGGAGAAATGATTTACCATTTCAGGAGCTGGTGTATGAGGCATGATCGACTCCTGGTGAATAAAACCTTGTTGCTTTCTCTGTAAAACGAAAGAAAAAAACGAAGCTACAAGGTGCGTTAACGTTGTGTTTAAGCGTGGAAGGCTATTCACTCATGATGACATTGTAAGAGAAGCATAAAGATTCGTAACGAAATATTTCAGGAATATAACATGAAACCTGAAATGACGCGAACAAGATGAATATGGTTTTTCCTTTCTGTCTAGCATCTACTCTTCTGGTGGCAAAGTTGTTGCCGTCACGTAAGCGGATAACTTCAAATATGATGGGAACTGCAAGAGTAGCAAAATAAGAGAATTTGCAAAGTGTAACATATGCATGAGGTCCTGCTGTTTTAAGGTAGGAGGAAAAGCAATTGCTTGCTTGCAAAAAGCGCATTGAAACTATGCCCTTACTATTTATCTCTCCAACAAGAAGGAAATAGGAATGTAAATTATGGACTATCTTCATATTTTCAACAGTTTTTGATGCTGCGGCGAGTGCCTGTGAAGCATAGGCAGTTGCAGTGATTACAAGTTATTTCCATTGCCTGATATAAATAGCACATAACAAGCTATATATACAAATGGATGATCAGCAAATACATGAGTAAATTTCATACCTGTCCAACTAACTGCCCTCCATAAACCTTTCCATAGGTTGGAGCATTGGGTGGAGTGAACCCCCGAAATACATTCAACTACAAGAAAGAAGTACAAAAAATATGAGATTCTTCGAATTTACTGGCAGAGAATGTAGTACGAGGCGAACATAAATTTGTAGAAATGTGAAAGAAAGAATGCTATAATTCTGATTCCAGATAATGGTAAACGTGAATGGCTAGAATTCCGAGCATAAGAACTGAAATGGAACAAAACGAAGGGCAGTTGGGGGAGATTCGTACATCTAATGGTTCTAGATACAATATGTGTTCCACAAGACAGGGTTGGTTATCTGAATCCGAGACTGACTTTGTCTCAAGCAAAGCACGATGATCAGACATGAACAGTAAACAGGTGAGCTGCAAGAAGAGAAATAAAAACAGTAATCAGTATGATATTACCGTTAGCATAGCATAAGCTCAAGGAAACCAATGCCCCCTAAGGAAAGAAGAAAGAATTTATCGCAAAGACCTCTGAGACTGCAACAACATCTGCTGAGTAAACATCCCCAAAAATACCTGTAAAGGAATTAATTGAAGAGTATTGAATCACGGAGGCAAACTTGCCAGAACAAAATTAACACACTGAAACTGAAGAATGGTCAGTATTGAAAGAGACATCATCTCACCAGGGCCGAAGAAATCAAATCGTTTCAAAAGGAACTGTTGAGAGTCTTCCTCTCCAGCTGATCTCAGAACCTGAGCCTGCAAACAAAAGAAAAATAGTTAAATAACCCTTTGCAATAGCCTTAGTCTATCTATCTTCTTATGGAGATAACACAGAAGTAACGTGACACAGCTCCTCACCTGTCCTTCCAAGAGAAAATAAACTCCATCCACATCCTGATTTTTACGAACCACATAATCACCTCTCTCTGTGAAGCACATAGCCAAAGAAAAAATCACATAATGGAAAAACATCACCCATGTCTCAAAAATCACTCACTGCTTAAGTTAAGTGCTTACATTCAAGAACACAGATTAAAAAAAAAAACGAAATTCTCAATCAAATTGACTTGGAGATGAGAACAAAATCAAAATCCCAGAATCACAACTGACCATAACGTTTGAAGACAACAACTTCAGCGATTCTCTTCAGAGAAGAACTAGGTAACCGCTGCAACAAGGGTACATTCCCAAGGAACTCGACAACTACCAACCATATGAAAAATCATCCGAATCGTGAAAAGAACTCTCAGAATAGAACAAAGGAAAGAAATATCGGAATACCTGATTCAGTGTTCATGATGACTGTGTAGAAAAGTTGGCCGGAAAATTCAATCATAAAAAAAATGCAACGAGGTAATTATCCAGTACCCTTGGGTATACGATAGAGTCTGTGGACACCGCTCAGATGCAATTGGAAAAACGTGTTAAACATGTCCCAAGAGTACTGACAAATGGAATGGGCCTATAGCTAAAAGCCCATACGCAAAACAAAAGTTTCTTCTAGACCCGACCCGACCCGACACCTTCCGAAGACGAATTTCTCTACATTGCACGTCTTTCTCCGCTGGTCTCGAGGAATCTTTCGAGCATCTATGGTAAGTAGATTCTTCTCACAACTCTCTTTCATTGTTTCGTCTGACGAACTGTGTTTGACTTGAATTTTTCGTAGATAACAAATTCAACTCGTTGTCTTCTCTCTCTAATTCGTGTCTTCTTCAGCGCCAACAGAAATGATTGAAATCACTTGATTGTTATAAATTCTTCTTTTTTTTTTTCTTACAGTTAGTTGTTCGTGATGGTTTCAGACACAACTCCTGGAACTCAGCTTGATCCGACCAGCTTATGATTCTGTCTTTATTCTTAGAGCCTCTTGATCCACACTGACTAATCTCGTGTCAGTGTGTTCTTCTGGTGGAATAATCCGATCCCATCGCCAGATAATTCTCCAATTCTATATATAATGCTTGCTTGCTTCATAGGTTCTCATGTCGATACTGTGTTGCGTTCCCGTACTTGAATGTGTCTATTGCTTGGGTTGTGCCCATTGGCTGTGGAAGAAATGTTTATACTCAGCAGGTCACGAGAGTGAGAATTGGGGATTAGCTACATCAGATGAGTTTGAGCCAATCCCTAGGATCTGCCGCTTGATCTTAGCCGTCTATGAGGAGAATCTCCATGACCCTATGTGGGCACCTCCGGGTGGTTATGGGCTTGACCCAAATCATGTCATTCTCAAGAAAGACTATGACCAGACTGAGGGTCGTGTGACGCCTTACATGATCTACTTGGATCATGACAATGGTGATGTAGTCTTGGCCATTAGAGGGCTGAATTTGGCTAAGGAGTGTGATTATGCTGTTCTTCTTGATAACAAACTTGGACAGACTAAGTTTGATGGAGGTTATGTACATAACGGGTTGTTAAAGGCGGCCATGTGGGTTTTTGAGGAGGAGCATGTGGTTCTAAGAGAGTTACTCGAGGCAAACCCGAGCTATTCCTTGACGTTTGTTGGCCATTCGTTAGGTGCAGGGGTTGTGTCTTTGCTTGTCTTATTCGTCATTCAGAACCGTGCTAGGTTGGGGAACATAGAGAGAAAGAGGATAAGATGTTTTGCTATTGCTCCTCCAAGATGTATGTCTCTCCATCTAGCAGTGACATATGCAGATGTCATAAACTCTATTGTTCTACAGGTATGATGATTGTATAAATCAGCTTCTATTGCCTCGCTTAGGTGACTCTTCTGATCCATTTTACGTGCTGCTCTGAATAAACCAGGATGATTTCTTGCCTCGGACTACCACAGCTCTGGAGAATGTCTTCAAGTCAATAATCTGGTAATGAAACAGTTTGAATTTCAGAAGCAGTTTTTATATTATTATAAGCCTAAGTTTAGAAGATGAAAAAGATCTCATGCTCTTTTATACATCTTAAACCTTCAGCTTGCCATGCTTGTTGTGTCTCACTTGTTTAAAAGATACGTTCACATTCGAGGAGAAAAAGCTCAAAGATGCAAGGCGTCTATATGCTCCTGGTAGGTTATACCACATCGTCGTGCGCAAGCCCTTGAGGTATTTATACTTTATGTATATCATGTGCTTCAAAATCGTTTTGTCAACTCGAAGACGGGTTTCAAAGTGAAAACCATGCTCTTGGTACAGATTAGGAAGATATCCACCTGTTGTAAGAACAGCTGTCCCAGTTGATGGGAGATTTGAGCAGATTGTTCTCTCCTGTAATACAACAGCGGATCACGCCATCATCTGGATTGAAAGGGAATCGCAGAGAGCTCTTGAGGTGAGTACCTTGAAATGTGCTTTGCTTCTTGTGACTGCTTCAGCTTTTGGAGATGGAGTGAATTTTGGCAATCTACTTTTAATGTGGTTAACTTTTTCAGTTAATGCTGGAAGAGGACCAAGTTATGCAAATTCCGGTGGAGCAGAAAATTGTGCGCCAGAAATCAATTGTTGAGGATCATGACGAAGAATACAGAGCGGCTATAATGAAGGCAGCTTCTCTGAACATCCCCATGTCTCCATCACCGTCTTATGGAACATTCCATGATACAGAAGAAGGAGAAAGCTCTACAGGATCAGGCATGGAAGGATCCCCGTCCGGGTGGTCCTTCAAAGGAATGAGAAGAAAATGGGATCAATTCATAGATTGCCATTTTCCTGTAAATGACCACAGAGAACATATAATCTTCAAGAAAAATGAATCATCAGCTTTGTTGTGTGGTCAAGAAACATTATAAATCGTGGTATAGGTGTTGTACATGTAGGATCTAGGGTACAGAATCAGAGAAGCAAAGTAGATGAAAATTCATTATTGAGAGATTAAGATTTTCTTCATTGTTCGAGCTCTTTTTGTGTTATAGCCTGTAATGTTGCTAGCAATTTCTTCTGAAATATCAATGAACATAACACCTATATTGTTATATACACTGTTCATTTTACAAGCTAATTTTACAATATTGGCTTTGAATTTATTCAACATGGCTACGCTGAATTGGTAAAGCCAAGCCAAGACGTTCTTATTATAACCAGGTACTAATGAGTGTTTTTAGTAGCATGGATCTAATGAGCCAAGCCAAGACGTTCTTATTATAACCAGGTACTAATATGTTCACTCGGGTTTGGTCTCTTGTGTCCCTGGAGCCAAACCAAGATCCGGAACGGCTTCACCTGCAAGTGAAAGTAACACCAGATTATAAAACCTTGAGAAAACACTAAATTCCACTAGGAGAATATGAAACGGAAGCTATACCATGCATTCGTTTGACGAATCTCTCAAACTCTTTGAAGTTTTGAGACTCCATCAGTGTTGGGTTAAGCCTCAGGTAAGTGAAACATGAAAGGTGGCGACCATCAGGATCGGTAAGGGGCTTTGCGTTTTCAAGTATCTTGTTGTAACCTTCTCTATCATAACAAGGAAGAGCATTTTCACTAGCAACAGGTATACTAGCATCCCAAGCAGCATTCAGCACCTGAAAAAAATTAACATGAAAGAAAATTTGGCAAGTTGAGATTTTGGCCTAAACCAATTAAAGCCAATCACTTGTGTAAGTTGAAGAAGTTTTTACCTGCCAAACTAGACCTTCTGGATCTGCCAGAGCCTCTGGAAAATCTTCATGTTGATCAAGTGTCCGTAACTCCACACATGTGAAGTTGAGTGCAGCATCATGTTTCTTGAACATTGCAGCTATTGGACCATAGCCATCACGGTTTGAGGAGTTGTAGAAGCCAGCAGTGAGTTCAGCAGCATGACTAGCTGTTTTATACCACCAGTGTATACCTGAGAGCTAATTTCCAGAAATGGATAGACAAAATGGTTCTATCAGCACAAGCCAGAAAAATATAGTGCACTTGCCCCATCAATAGAGCTTTTATTACCTTTGCAGCGATGCAAGTTCCTTCGAAAGCCAAATTTGCCATAGCAAGAACACGATCACCATGGTCAATCAGAACTCTTGAGTACCAATTAAGAAAGAATCTACCATAGTAGCTGTCATAATCGCCTCCATCGCGAAAAAATCCGGTCCCATGAGGTGTTGAATTATAAGTCTCTGTGTTATCAGGTCCTCTACCCCAAAAGCTGTGGCCTCTTACTTCTGCAGCCTCCTTTAGGCTCTTCATCAAATATTTATCATAACACTGTGCAGACAGGACAGCACAACAAAGAAGATAAATCGGTAAGTAAAATAGCAATGGAAGATAGAAAGTAATTTTGGATATGCTTATGATCCATCAAAGAGATTACCTGGAATTCACCAATACCAGGATATCTCCACCCAAATTGTGCAGGGTATGAAGGATACCTCAGCTCCCCACATGGACCTAGTCCAACTTCAATTTCAGGGATGATTTTATCCTCAAAGAATTCATCAAATTCCACCCGAAAGCTTCGCATGTAATCAAAGTAAACCTACAATTGTTTTTTGGGGGGATTACTGATAACAAGTGATATCATATAGTGAGGAAACACTTGCTACAGATTCTTTTAACATAGAGTAGTAGAAAGCCATACCTCCAGAGCAGTCCGTCCTCTTAAAACCCGTTGCTTGTCAATTCCCCAAGTAAGGCATTCAGTGTTACGCCTGCCTGCTCTGTCAGTGAAGTAGATGTCAGGATTGCTTTGACCAATTTCTCTAACCCACTCAGGGAGTTGTATATGCACATCATCTCCAACATTGCCTCCACATTCGTGAAACGACATAACAACCTGTAGTCAATTCAAGTGAAGAACATGGAAACGGTTCATCTCAAGTATGCATATCTTTGACTAAACTGAATTGAGACTCATTGATCTCAAGTAAGTAACTCATATATATTACGAGGAAAGTGTTTACATTAATACCTGTATCTTAAGTCCAAGCTCACGAATCATCTGAAAAAGTTTCTTGTAACCACTCCAATTATAGACCTGTGGTGTATGAGCCTCGACAAGTCCCCACCAGCAGTCAACCATAACACCATCAACATCGACTGACTTCAAGGTTCTTAACTGATCCAAAAGCTCTTCCGGTTCCACCACTTGGGAGTTCATATCAATGACTCCCAACTATATCATTCAACAACCAAATCAACCAAAGACACATCTCTAGCCAAACAACAACAAAATGAAAGAAGAAGACTCACTGGTAGCATAACATATACGGGAACACGCGCTGTGCCGGAGAAATCACGCTCTTCAAAATGCACAATTTCTTCATCAACCTAACAAATAAAAAGTGAATTCACATAATTCTGGGCACAAGCGAGTGAATCTTCCAAATGTAATTCCACCACACTTACGAGCTGATCAGTAGAATCGTCGTCATCAATTGGAACTGGATCCTCCTCAGTACTCTCTGCTCTCAGTTTCACCTTCGCAGAAACCAACGACGGCCTAGCAC